TTGATGCAATCAGTTCTCGTGTGGTAGAATTAAACAGGAACATAACTCTGAGAAGTCATGTTCTGTTTGAACTTTCGACTGATGAACGCCGGCAATTCGAGGAATACGTTTCTTGTGTCATTGAAAAACAGTCCCAGTCTGCTAACCTCAAGCATCTTGACAGTCTCAAGCAGGTATTAGCAGAAAAGCGATTCCCGACTGACCCCAATAAGTATGTATTTAATTATTCCTCCGTCACTCTTTCTGAAATTCAACTACAAGCCCTATCACTGGGCCCCAAATTCTGCAACAGTTCATCCAAAGTCAACAGACTGCATACTCAAGTGCAATTCGAAAATCTTATTAATCAGACCAACGATCTTACACCCACATCACCTGAGGAATTCCAATACTTTAAATCCACAGTTCTTGATTGCTGTCATCAGTATACTAGTTCAAAACCTAGCTCGAATAATCTTCTGACTAAAGAGCATATAGACCAACTGAAAGAGCTAGAGAAGAATGATGATATTATCATATGCCGTCCAGACAAAGGTGGGGGTGTCGTAGTTATGAATCGCCAAGATTATAATGATAAAATCTCAGCGATCCTTTCTGACCAAACGAAATTCGCCAAACCCGACGGTGAAAAGAACAAGACACATCTAATTGAAAATCAACTGACTGATGTCTTAAAGAATATGAGGAATAAGTCAGCAATATCGTCAGAAATATACGAACGCATCAGACCAGTAGGCTCCATTATACCACGTTTGTATGGACTACCTAAAATACATAAGACAGGATTACCCCTCCGTCCAATCCTCGATATGGCGGGCTCTCCTTATCACGGAATCGCCCAATGGCTAGCCGAAATATTGGAACCAGTCAGAAGGCAAGTATCTAAGTTTTCCATTGATGATACGTTTAAATTTATTGATAGTATTAAAGATTTTAATGTCTCAGAAAAAGTCCTGTTCTCATTAGATGTCACGTCGCTATTTACCAATGTTCCTCTCATGGAAACTGTTAGCTATTTATGTGGGTATATTGATACTCATGGTTTGGAAATAGGTTTACCGACAATCCACCTCAAAGAACTTTTATTGAGAATTAGCAAATTATCCAGAAACCCAGTGAGTGCCTGGGAGTCATCCTGTAACTGACCACCATTACCCTCAACAGCCTCGAATAATTTCCCTGCAATCATCGAAGGTCTTCCAAACCTTTGACGTAATATGCTCATAGCCTCGTAGTAGCCCTCTTTTGGCTTCATAAACGTACAGCACTGTATAGCTCTTGCAGCATCTCCAGTGCAATATCTCATCAAATACATTAACTTCAATTCATCACTTAATAGAAAACTACTCAACATGATCTCAAACTCCTTTACAAATTGTAAATAATCAGCCGGGTTTCCATCAAAACACCGTGGTTCTAAATTAGGGAGTTTGATGTTCCTATTATCCCTGAACAGCGAAACAGTAACATCAACCATGTCATGCTTAACATCAGACACATCGTTACAATTAACAGACAAGTCACCATGACTTACTTTCCTGTTTGTATCCAAGACACTCTGTCCCTTCTTTGACCCAGGCATTGTTGAACTTGACCCAATTCCAAAAACGTTCCAGATATTGCTTGTTCAAAGAGGACTTGACCGGCACCAGGAAAGATGAACGGTGACTATCCAAACTTTCACCAACTGTCTGAATCCGCCAGAGTCAGTTTCTACCATCAGAAACTGTCAGTCACGTCTCATAAACCGTTAATGCCCAGCTCTCGCTACGCTCGGGCCCACGCTGTTCCTTGAAGTTTTCAGAAACGCTTAGTAATAACGGACGAAAAACCAAAAGACCGATTGGCTACTCGAGGATTCTTTATTGTTACACCAACATATAAACACTAAGGTCTGTGAACAAATATTACAATAATAAATCACAATATTACTTCTGATGGTTTTCTGCTGACTTCTTTCTGAACAGCGACCGATGAGACGATGACTGTCGTATTGATGCCTCCGCGAAAATTGAGGAAGTTTGGTTTTGAGCAAACAACCAAGAATTGATCGTTCAATCTTCAACTGCATTGACATACGTGGTATCCATGTTCTCTTTTAATTCCGCAAAATGTCTCACTTTTGGACCGCTTAACTCGCCTCTTGTGTGAGCGCTTAGAACTCATGCTTTGTTCCCCTTCAATATGTATTACAGTGCGTGACTTTGTGTAGCACTGCTTCTGAACTTTGGTTCACTTTGGGATCCCTAAGGTCGACAGCATCTTAGCCCCATTTCTGGACCTTGACATCGTCTATGACTTAATACGCTATGCTTGATAAACATGCACACAGCACTTTTCCGCGCCCACCTGCAAGTTGGTGATTAAATATATTTCCTACTTAGATATTTCTGTCTTTTTAACGATTGTGTAGCTGACAGAATGTGATACGATACTGCACATCACTTATTCTGATTAACACCCGCACCCCCCGAGTCTTGACTTCGGTTGTTCGTAGTCTGAGATGCTGATATTGCTTTTCCAAGACATCATCTGAATCTTTATTCGGTATCTGTGTATTTCATTTTAGAACGAATAAATCTACTTATAAGATGAAGACAGTGGGTGTTGGAAACCGACTTATCTATCAGAATAATTATTCAGTTTGCCAACTGACAGCTCGTGATATTGAAGAGGACCAATGTTGCTTTTTCACTTTTACTTTCGAAACCACTGCAGGGGGCAAGTGAAACGGAGAAAACCCGGTGCATTTATGACTCAACAGATAAAGCCCTACAGATCACGAAGATGTAGATCCTACTTGGTTGCTCTCCTATCCTCCTGAACTCCCCAGTTACTTACTTCATCTGAGTGGACATGGCATAATGTGACACAGAGGCCCCACAGGAGCATCATTCTGGGTTGGACAGATGTTCGTTTGCCCAGCGAAAGTAAACCCTTGCACACCAAAAGGTAAACTTCGTTACAATTCCCCCGGAGTTTTAAATTTTGCTTAAATCACAGCTCCACCGGTCGCTATCATTCTATCAGATGCATATATTTATGTATAAAATTTAAACATATGAAAACAAAACACATAGATCAGCGAAGGGTCTCTTTTTTCAGCGAATTCATTTTCTTAGCTGTACAACCGCAAATATACATTCGAATATACAAATTCATTCAGCTAAGAAAATGAATTCGCTGAAAAGAGACCCTTCGCTGATCTACGTGTTTTGTTTTCATTAATGCCTGGATGGGATTATTCATGAAGTTCAACATATAGCGACTGCAGTTGAAAACACTTTCGCGATTATAGGCCTAAAATTCGGAACCAAGCTGGTTGGGCATTGAGAGGCAATCACGAGGACGGAAGCCTCTGATGAACTAATAGTCGGGTTAGAATGAGGTGAGACAGCAAGCAAGCATCAGTTTTTTGCGCGGTGTGCCCTCAAAAACCTATGTGCACATGTCAGACGAACACAGGTGTTTCCGCACGCTCTCTGAACTTATATAGTCACTAAGGAAAACCTTCTGAGTTGGGACAGTTATTTATTGCTGCGATCAGAATTCGTAGAGACCACTGAGACATAGTTGCTAGTAGGTGTGGAGACCTGCTCCTACCTAGATGTGCCTGTGTCAGATTAGATAGAGCAGTCAGTGGTAATGTAAATAGCTCACCTCCGTACATTCAGAGTGAATAGGAATTAAGTTGACATATCAGAAGCACTAGAAAGCGGTATTTATAAATCTGCGGAGTTAACTCGGTTAGGTCTGCCGTAGTGTATGAACTGATAACCAATGTCCCTTACTCCATTAAAACTGACATTTTATAGCTTTTTATGAATTTGATTCGACTTATTCTGTTCCTATTCTCTGGAGGGTACGGTTGCGCACCAAATGCACAAAAAGGCATAAAATAAAAAAACCGGCATAAGGAAAAAATGTATTAAAACCAAAAGTGGACATCATGATAGTGCAAACTGTACAGGAAGCATTATACATTGCAAATGAACGTTGTCAGCCTAGTAAGTTTCCTTTATTAATGCATTTATTAGTGATACTTGCACTTACCCATTTCATTACACTTTATTGATTCACCTTAGCACTTTTACTTTTCTAAAAACAGCTTTCAATCCCTTGTAAACGTTGTACTTACCTCAATATTGGTTGGTTATCGTATGCCGACAACCACGGGATGAAAACGAAACGAAGTAGATTTTTCCACTCAATCTGGAGGACAATTGTACAATTCAATAACTATATAGCCTAGTTCAGACAATGAGTGTATTTATATATATATATATCAAATATTTAACTGTTGAAACATTATTAACTTGTAGACAATCTACGATTTGATATTATATCATACTTGATCGTGCCTGTAAAAATGGCATGCATTTTCATGTAAATTTATATGTTTATATGAGAATATACATTATTATTATTAAATACCAAGCTGTCAATGTCGCATCAAAACTACTGTGTAGAGCATTGGAAAAACGTCTGATATTAGGTGACTTTAAAATTTCCTCGCGTCAGTTGGGAGGGGGAAATAACACTGACTAGCTCGAATAATGCTTGAATAATAAGCAACCCTGGTTTATTGAGGTATTTACTGACAAGGTGTGACCCAAATAATGACTTATCAGTTTTCGAATAGGTATTTACATGCCAGAAATACTAGGCCTTATATATCGCCTGCAGGACAGGAATTCAAGTCTTTTCTCATCGTCACAATATAAGAGGATAGGTGACCATATTTCAAATTATCGTATGTCAAAGGCGACATGGATAATGAGTTTTACAAACTGTTCTCTTCTTTTAAGGAATTAGTGGTTTGCCTTCTGAAATGAAAGCCTTAAAAGTGACTGGAACCTTCAGGGACACAAATATACACACAGATTTTGCAAGAATTAACTCAACATTAACCCAATCTACAATTTATTTTTACGGATGAGTGAGAATACTAAAGAGAATATGAGTGGTCGATTGAATTGCTGCGTTACGTAGTTTCATGAATGACGAAGTTCAACTTAGCAAAGCTGAGAAAAGTGCTTGGTGCGCCTCAGAAGCATGTGAAACGTCACAATAAAAAGCTAGAAAAAATAGTTAGGGGAAAGAAACGTGAAAGTCGAAAAGATAGTCTCGACTCATTAATAAATGCATCAATGTAACTTCATTCTATTCTCAATTCTTAAGTTAGAGGTTCCGGTTTTTGAATGAAAAGCTGTACAACTGTTCCAGTAAGGAAGCAGCAACTTTATTCAAGGAAGATCCTGGAGCATTTGGCATATACCATGAGGGGTACAAACAACAGTTGTCACAGTGGCCTCAAGATCCTCTCATATGGGTCAAAGACGAAATAATGAAGCAGACTTCAGGTTCCAATAAAAGATTGAAAATAGCAGATCTTGGCTGTGGTGATGCTCGGCTAAGTCATATGCTTCCCAATGAGCATAAGGTCTACTCATTTGATCTAGTCTCTGTCAACGAACGTGTCACCGCTTGTGATATGGCTCACGTATGTTTTTTCCCCCATTGAGATTGCCATTTTGATTTGTTTTACCCATATGTAAACCAGCGGAGAGTCAGAAAGAGTTATAGGTTTTGAAATTAAGTTTATTGCTTAAGCTATGTAGCAATTAGCCCGTGGGGCGAGTCGAAATGTATAGTAAATAATCTTACCGAGTTATTCAAATTTCAAGAATATATTGAAATGTAAGACAAAGGCTATGGCTCCTCTAAGACCTTCTGCGTCTAACTATTTGTTAATTGATGGATCCATTGCAGTCCAACTACATGTAGCTGGTAGCTTAAGTCAAATTCAGTTCTCTTCAGAATGATAGCTAGCTGCAGCTCTATAATTAACTGTCTACATATATGTATATTATGTATAAACGTCACGTTGTCTTAGTCGTCTAAGTTAAATAAAACTACCTATTTTTACTTTTTTCCAGACACCCCTTAAGACGAATGAAGTTGATTTCGCAGTATTTTGCTTATCTTTGATGGGAACTAATTGTTCGGAATTTCTGTATGAAGCCAATCGAATTCTTAAGTCTGAGTAAGCATTCTCACTGGATATATTTTACTGTTAATTTTAAATATTTCTAAGTTCTTTGTAGAAAATATAGGTAATGAGAACAGCTGATTCTCACACGGCTTTCCGACTTACCCTATTAAAGTGGATTATTAAAAAATAATATTTCCAGTTCATATAAACATACTAAACCAGAGAATATATATATATCACTTATTGTAACAACACCCGCAAAGATAGATATATTTTAATCGTCGTTTCTGTATATCACCTTTTGTTCTTGGTTCGGTTTTAAATAATTTATTGTGATATGGCTCATTTTCTGACAAGTATATATTGTGTTGAAGAAGAAAATCAACGTGTTTAGTTATGCATTTTTCCCTTCTCATTCCCAGTGGAACATAAGGCCTCAAGCTAGTGGCTTGAAGTTTCTGTAGTAGTGTTTATTTTAACAGGATGGGGTTGCTAGCCTCATGTCCAACCTTTCCTCTTTACCAGCATTATTTCTGGCTTAGCGAGGTGAAGAGGTGCGTCGGCCGGCGATCGAACCTCGGACCATGTGCATGGTCGGCGAGCGTCCTAACCGCTGTGCCACCGACGCACTTAGTTATGCATTGCTTTGTATAAATTCATCTGTTGGAATACGTTGGAAATATCCCATTAAAGTTATTTTCGCGAGTTATTTCTTCATATTAAAATGTTGGTCGTATTGTTTTTCAGTTTCAAAAGACAAGAGTAGTTTTTTCACGGATTTTGATAAACAGATAATCTACTAATATGGCTTTCTCCACTTTCTCTGTAAAGGATTTTATCTCTTGCATTTCAGTATGTTCTCCTTTCAAGATACGCACAACTGAATAACAATTTACCATAGTTGGTTTATTACCACTTACACATGTACATGTACATGGACTACATCGACGACTAGTTTAAAAATAGGAAGTGAAGTGGTAGAGCACGTTGACCGCTTCACTTATTTGGGAAGTACCATCAGCCCCCACGGGCTGATCTCTGACGAAATCTCAGCACGAATACAAGGGGCTCGTTTCGCATTTGTTAGTTTACGCCGACTCTGGCGTAGACGAGATGTTCGACTATCGACCAAAGGGCGGGTGTACTGCTCATCAGTCCGCTCCGTCCTCCTGTATGGTTGTGAGACCTGGTCACTGAGAGTGGAAGACATGAAAAGACTAGCTGTCTTTGATCATAGGTGCCTGCGTTCTATTTCCCGTGTGAATTGGTATAATAAGGTGAGCAACATTGAGGTTAGGCGTAGAGTTCTAGGTAAACAGGGGAAATCTATCGACGAAGTCGTGAAGCTACAAAGACAGATGGTTAGGACATGTGTTACGTATGCCAAACCATCGCCTCCCTCGACGAGCAATGTTAGCGGATATAGGGTCAGGCTGGAAAAAAGCTATTGGCGGTCAAACAAAAACTTGGCATCAGTCAATGAAATCCACAACAGTTGGTCTAAGCCACGTAGAAAAATGTAGACTTCCAGGCTGGGGTCCTCGGGACGGTCAAAATCTATGGTTGGAAACAATTGGTGACATGGCTCAAAACCGTTCTCAGTGGCGCAGATGCATCCACTCCCTGTGACTTATGATCTTCAATGAAACTGTTTTGTATTTCTTTATTACTCCTTTGTCTCACACCTCTGTTTACTGTCTCTATTATGCATTTCTTGTACTTTCTTCTCTTGCTTCGCGTGCTACACGGAATGTGGCGACTTGAACTTCCGCACATTTGTGCAAAGTTCTATGTCGAAAACAGACAGACAGACAGACATGTCTTCTAGTTCATTTTACTACCGGTGCAGCTTACACAGTTTTGCAATACTGTGAGGAATATCATCCGTTGCCTGTTTTTATTAGGTTCCATTTATATTTCTAGTGCAGTGCCATGGCTTAAGCAGTGAATATCAGATTCTCTTGAGTACTGGCCCTATTATTAAGCATCGTCTGTATGTTGGAACTCCGAGTAACTGAAGCTTACTCATTTGTTTTTCTATATTTTCCGAAGTTCTACCATTGCATTATGTAAGGATCACTTGTGAAGACTGCTTATTGTTCTTGTTTTCATTGTTAAACTAGTTCTTCAAAAAAGAATTCTCCGCTGATTAAACACGAAGAATCTCGTTTATTTAGCATGCGACAAAACAGTTGCAACCTAAATACTACATTGAAGTAAGTCGTTGAATACTTGTAAGCCTTGATTCGACCCAAAAATTCCAACCGAGTCCAGGCAGTGGGGATATAGTGATCTTCTTCCAGTAGTACTCAAGTATCATAGGCCCCAATTATTATCCGGACGACGGAGATTCTAGTTGAGATATGGGAGTCATGTATTATTTTCTCTAACTGTTCTGTCACTGATTGTCCCAAATTTCGATAAACGAAAATCTGTGATGAATTCAGAAAGTTAGTTTATCAACATAGTTTCCAGAATTTTGGGACCTTGCGAACAACTTATGCGAGGAAACCAGGATGGTTTCAGATCTGGCCGTAGGTATATCTGTAGTGGTATGATACAGAAAATGTGTTCCAACGGAATATTATTCTCATACATTCACAGTTCAATACGGCATTAGCAACAAAATGCTACATATATATGTATCTGAACATTCTCTTTGCTGTTACATACAATAATTTCCCACAGTTCCATACGGCATTAGCGACAGAATACTATGTATATTTGGACATTCTATTTCATGTCGTTTAATGTAAACCGAAATCGCACCCTCAGTGATTGACTAACGGACATAAACTCTATGTATGCAAACAGAGGTTTTAGCAATGAAATATATACCTTGGCTTCCGTGTCTTCCCCTTCTGTTACATAACGATTAAATATTCATTCTATCGGATGATTGAACATAAGCACACCCGTAGTCTCCTGAAACTGTATTTCCTTTTCTTAGGGAAGCTGTTGATTCCGTATTGTTGAGTCATGTTGATTAGTTGCAGCCATTTGAACACTTTTAAAGTGTTTCTCACCTTTCATTTATGTATTTATTATCAAAATGCTTTGACTATGGAGTAAAGTAGTTTAGTATGTTGCATCAGTCCATGTTTATGAAAGGTCTGCATGGATACAGAAGGCCTTCCTGGTTTTCACCGGATGTCTTTCTTGTATCGTGGGATGTCCGGTTTCCCTATAAGAGTCGGACGCACTGTATAACAGTGCGCTCTGTTCCATTTCATTGCTATGGAAAAGGCTAGAAAGTCAGAAAATCTACGGAGGCATTTGACCGTTGTCGCCGTCATATTATTTCCTGTGTTTGGTAGAACTCCCATGAGTGTGACGTAGAAGTTCGGAATGGAGACTTTAGTAAGATAGGTAAGTAGAGGAACGTAGTTATTCATTTCCATATTCTAATACACTTTACTCATCTTCACTCACCAAATACCTCAGTGTATTATGTTGACAGGTAGATTAGGTTGTAAAAAGTAATAGTGTACAGCGGAAAACATATCACTCATCCATTGAGTCATTATCTGCTTTTGTGAGTCGTATAGGGAAGTGTAGTTCGTCTGGTTCGCCCTCTCATTTTCCTTCAAAAATCTTTGAACGGTGATTTTAAATAGTATAACGTAGGTTTAATTGCATTCATCTTCATGTTGACAGTAACGCCAGATGTAAACAGTTAGATTTTCGGCTATATTATTTTCATTTCCTTGATCTGCTTATAATTTCACTACACCTGAAGTGAAGGTATCTGGCTTGTCAACTTGAAGTATCACGCAGTAATACTAGATCATATTTTGACGTTTTTATTGTATTCGTCAGTAATTCGCATGCACTTTTCTGTGAACTTGGTTTGACCTTTCGGTATACTCATTAGTTTTGTTTTATTTACAACAAAATATTTTTAATTTTTTGTTGTATTTAGAGGTGTGCTGGTGATCGTAGATGTGGCGAGTCGATTCGATGGCAAATTCAATGATTTTTTGAAAAAGCTCAAGCGTTATGGATTCTCTAAACAATTTTCAGAGACAACAAATGATACATACTTTGTCCGAGCTCTCCTTCGTAAAGTATCTTCTTGTACTTCCGAGCCCGTAGAAAGTTTACCTAAGCTAATCTTGAAGCCTTGTTTATATAAGAAGAGATGAGTGGTATTTGTAATGTATTGTTGTATTTTTTGTAAATATACGCCTGAGTACTTGAGTTCAACTTTCTGGTTGATTTTGGTCTTCATGCCTATGTGATTGATTGCATAGTATTTTATTTTTAGGACTTCAACGTTGTTAGCATTTAAAACATGGAAACTATTATCGCCCATGTCCGTGAAGGAAATCTTCACGAAGTAAAATTATGGTTAGACGACATAGAAAATGATGTGAATCAAGGAGATGAACATCGATTCAGTCTTTTACACTGGGCTTCTCGTGAAGGACAAAGAAATATAGTTGATTTATTAGTTCTTCGTGGAACTCGAATTAACGCTACAAATATGGGTGATGATACAGCATTACACTTAGCCGCTGCTCATGGACATTTTGATGTTGTACACTATTTGCTAAATTCTCATCGTTTGAATGTGGATGCTGCAAATGAACACGGAAATACAGCTTTACACTATGCCTGTTTTTGGAATCATTTGGAGATAGCTGAGGTGAGACTTCTATCAGTTAACCTATAAATGCATGTAGTATTGAAACCCATTCAGTTTTCTTTCAACTTATTAGTTAGAACGTAGCACGACATTTGGAAGTTGAAACTATTCGTCTCATGATGGCTAACGACCAAATCAGAATATCCATGTGAACATAAGTAATTACAATAGCACGGCTTTACAGTTACTTTTTAATGGAACTAAATAAACGAGGTGTACCGCAACTTAAGCTCCTAATGAATACCTTGTTTCTCCTTGATAGTCAGAGTGTTTAGAATGGCCGAATATAACTTATCCTTTTTCTTTCACTTTATATTAGTTGGTTCTTTGTTCATTTTATATATATATAATCAGTTTGATTTGACTTTTGGTATTGGTTGTTTCGTAGTTTTAATGAGATTGCTTTTATAGTTAACTGCTTTTTTCCTTCGAGTTTGCAGATAAGGCTTGTTGATGAATGCCAACTAGCACGAAACCTAGGTATTGTAAACTTGACTGATAGAATTCAGTCTGCAACAAAGATAGGACTAGACACATTACACTAGTTACTGACTAGTGTCCAATGTAGGTATCCAGTACAGTCCTACAGGAGGTCAATCGTCAGCCCGAATAGCTCAGTGGTAACGTCTCTGACTACAGCGCCCACTGGGCGACGCGGGTTCGAATCTCAGAAGGCACACGAGTTCCTTCGAGGCTGTAGATACTGCTTGTTGGTGAGCACCAACTAGTACGATACCTAGGCCTAAGGCCCTCCTGCTGATTGGCTCCAACCATCTAATACAGTCAAATGTGAATCATGTGTATCTTTTTGTTTACTGTAAATGTGTAGCTACAGGGCCATGGTGGCGCAGATATATTCAGTCTCTGTAATCTTTCATATTCCTTTCTACCATTACCCATTCTGTTTCACTCTTATACTTGTCAGACTGTATTGATTCTCTTCACTCATCTTCTTGTCTACCTCTGTGTGCTATTTGGAACGTGGCAACTCGAACTTCTGCACTTCGGTCCCAAGTTCTATGTTGAATCCAGACAGACAGCCATTGCTCATAGGTGTAGGAGTCCGTCGTTTAGTCTTTGGGTCGTCAACTCGAAACCGTTCCACCTACTGGAGACTTTGCAGAAGATGATGTTACAGGACTGGACTACACCGACTCCTAGATTAGAAATAGGAAGTGAAGTGGTAGAGCACGTTGACCGCTTCACTTATTTAAGAAGCACCATCAGCCCCGACGGGTTGATCTCTGACGAAATCTCAGCACGGATACACAGGGCTCGTTTCGCTTATTCCAGTTTATGCCGTCTCTGGCGTAGACGAGATATCTGACTATCGACCAAAGGGCGGGTGTACCGCTCCTCAGTCCGCTCCGTCCTCCTTTATGGCTGTGAGAGAGACCTGGCCATTGAGAGTGGAAGACATGAAAAGATTAGCTGTCTTTGATCATAGGTGCCTGCGTTCTATCCCCGTGTGAAGTGGCATAATAAGGTGAGGAATATCGAGGTTAGGCGTCGAGTTCTAGGTAAACAGGGGGAAACAATCGACGAAGTTGTGAAGTTACATAGACTGAGATGGTTAGGACATGTGTTACGTATGCCTAGTGATCGCCTTCCTGGACGAGTAATGTTAGCTGATATAGGGTCAGGCTGGAAAAGAGCTAGCCAGTGGTGGTCAAACCAAAACATCGCACCAGTCAATGAAATCTACAACAGTTAGTTTAAGCCAGCTACACAGGGAGGTGTAGACTGGCCTCCTGGTTGGGGTCCTCAAGACGGTAAAAACCAATGGAGGCTGGAAACAATTGGTGATATAGGTCAAAATCGTTCTCAATGGCTGGCGCAGGTGCATCCACTCCTTGTGACTTATGATTTCCAATGAAACCGTTTTGTTCTTCGTTATTAGTGTTCCTTTGTCTCACACCTCTGTTTACTGTCTCTTATGCATTTCTTGTACTTTCTTGTCTTGCTTTGTGTGCTACAAGGAGTGGAGTGTGGCGACTTGAAGTTCTGCACATATGTGTAAAGTTCTATGTCGAAAACAGACAGACAGACAATTTCAGATGCATTGATTAGTCATCTTGTTATCTAAAGGCACATAATGGTCACTATCTTGGTACGTATAAGATTATTATACTTGTAAGTCTAGGAATTTTTGTGTGCTTTATTAACATGCACACATACACTCAAATGTTTTGCTAACTGATACATAATTTATGTTTGATAGTATTCAAGTTGTGGAATTTCTATGAATTTTTCTTCTATGCATGTGAATTTATCTTTTATCATATTTATCGTAAGTGTATGAATTCAATATATTGTACCTGAATGGAGGTAAAAAAAATGGTATGTGGTATTCGAATAAGGCAATTGTCCATAGGAGAGAGAATTTGCGAAATTTCAGTTTTAAGGAGTGTGTTTACATCATATAGGTTATTGATTTTATGTTATGTTATCGTAAGTCTACAACCATTGGTTTATTTAGAGAAATCCAGACAAGTGGGTCAGCTCGGTGGTAATCCGAGTTAAATACTAGTGATTATTATGAATGACTAATCACCAATTACCTTCCCAAATAATTCTCGGTAACCAATTTAAGTTGATTCCAGTGACAAACAGCCTTTCACTCGTTAAGAATTAAAGTTATCACTGATATACTCTGATAAGTAAAAATCAAGAAACTTAATCGTTAAAATAGCCTGAATTCTAACTGGTTACTAGGGAAAATTTAGAATCTAATGAAAATAACAAGTGTTTAGAAGGTCTTCGTATTGTTGCTTCGAGGAGCTGTAATCAGCAACTTACTGTGTAAGTATCACGATGATGAATGTTTGATAGAATTAATTGAGTCACACACTGTTTAAAATGGTTAAAACCAAAAATACAGTTGTATGTTTCCAATGAAATATAAATGTCAGTTTTTTGACACTAAGGTTTCCGTGTGAAACATAAAGATTTGCAGTCATAGGACTGACTGACTGGTTACAAAACAGAACTTTGCATACATTTGCAGCAGTTCAAGTCGCCACACTCTGTGTACCACACAAAGCAAAAGAAAGTATAAAGAAATGCAATATAGGGACAGTATACAGAGATATGAGACAAAAAGAATAGTGGTATCGAAGAACAATATAGTTTCATTGGATATTATAAGTCACAAGGAGTGGATGCATCCGCACCAACCATTGAGAACGATTTTGGGCCATATCACCAATTGTCTGCTGTTACCATTAGTTTTTACCGTCCCGAGTACCTCAGCCAGGAAGTGTACACCTTCCTACGTGGCTGGCTTGAACTAACTGTTGTGGATTTCATTGACTGATGAAGCCATGTTTTGGTTTGACCACCGTTAGCACTTTTCCAGCCTGATCCATTCGATGTCAGCTAAGATTGCATGTCGAGGAAGGCGAGGGCTACGCATGCGTAACACATGTCCTAATAATCTCAACCGGTGTAACTTCACAGCCTCGTCGATTGATTTCCCTTCCTTATCTAGCACTCGACGTCTAACGTCAATACTGCTCACCCTGTAATACCACTTCACACGGGAGATAGAACGCAGAGACATATGATCAAGGACATCTAGCCGGACTTTCCATATCTTCCACTCTCAGTGGCCATGTCTCACAGCCATAAATCATAGGATAAGATAATAGCTTTATTCCGAAACAGTACTTGTGATACAGAATGGAATTCTCAGCATTTTACTACAATATTGCATCCAGCTAGTACATTAACAATAGGAACAACAAAGGAAAGGGAGAATAGCTCATTACCATTCTATCCGTTTGTTCATACACTTGTAAACATCTTTTTCAACTACCAAGAATTATAATATCAAGTTATTTTCTCTAACCAAACATCATAGATTTGATTCATAGTTTTATGAAGCTGTGATATGCTGATGGATAAATCAATGTTTATTCCTGTGTGAAATGAACCTCAAAGTAGTGAAGCAATTTTTTTGAAGCGACAATTGACATAAAAGTGGTTTAGAGATTGCACTTCTTAATTATAATTTCAAATCTTCAGGTTTTAGTTCATGGAATTAAATACAGTGCAGATTTACTGTGCTCAGTATTCTTGTAAAGGATATTCCTTTCTCAATTCTAAAACAACTGATCTCCATGATTTAATTGGTATCACTTCAAATTCACTATTCATGATTGACTATATTCTTGGTAATGGCTTTAAAAATCGTAGTCAACTTGTGGGTTGTGATGAAAAGATCGACTGTATCGACTAATTAGTCAGTATGTGATGATAAACACATGAGATCGATGATACATTCAAATAAAGTTCTGCATCAACGGGAGCATTAATCCAATGATAAGGAGAAAATATGGGTTAGTAATACTGTTTAGTACTATAGTGTTCCTCAGAGTCATACAGTTTTATTGAGTATCAGCAGTTTTCAATGAAGTTCAGTATTGGTAAACAGGTTAACTTTAAGCCATCATAAATAAGGGAATTTAAGTCATTTCATAAAAATCAAATAATGCCAGTATATAAACTAATACATTGTGCAATTAGTTAGTAACTATATAAAAGCTATATTTCTTCTACAGTCAAGCTTCGTGCTTTTAAATAATATAGACGCGTATTTCAGTAAAAGTGGTAATGCTGTTAATTGTTAGAAAAAACAATTGATCATTGAATAAGTGTCATTTTTAAAGATTTTGATATTTGTATTTCCCCATGAGACAAAATCGATCTAGGATCTTTTTTACTGACGTCTCCCGATTTATTGTTTTACTTCAATCCACCTTTTGGTTGCCATTGTTTTCGTAAAGCTATCAGCCCTATGCAGTGAAATATATCCATTAGACAAAATAATAACGTATATTAAATCCTATTGTGAGTAGGTTTAGTGTAATTCATTTTGCATCATTTAGTGTATATTAGTGAACCGTTTTGTCTAACTTACACTATTTTGAAAATATTTTTTTATCAATTTTTACTTTTCAATGATCTATGATTAAGTTTATGAAACCATTAATCAACAGAACGTATCCGTGTATTCCATTATTATGAAGAGTTCTGATTTAGTCTTTAAAAAAATTTCTTTTACAGTATTTGATCAAAAATGGAGCCTGTCTTATGCAAGAGAATAAATATGGAGAGACTCCATTAGAGTTGATTCGTCCTCGTGCAGCTGCACTCATTGCTCCATTAGCTCAAGCTTTAGGTCATGATTTATCACGTCGTCGACCTTTCCGGGATACAAGTTGGATTGGTACAAAGACACGAGCTCGAGATGCTACTCTTTATCGTTTAGAAGGTGAATCTTGGGATCCTCGAGAAGTAGAACTTACAGGTGCTTTAGCTGATGGACATGGTGCTGAAGTATTGAAAGGATCATTTAGACGATGTCCTGTAGTTGTAAAGATGTTAAAATTACGAAATTGTTCAACTCGACAGGTCAGTTTGAAAATTTTTTGTGTTTTTAAAACTTATTTTCTCTCGCTTATGATTATTTCGTTAATTATTATTATTATATCGTATAATTCCTAGAGGAACATAGGGCTTCAGCCACGCGTCTCCATTGCCTCCGGTTTTCTGACAACTTTTTCACTCTGCCCACATGCTTTCATCTCCTCTTCACATGACCTCCTCCAAGTCACCCTCGCAGTGACGACCAACTCGCTGCTTCCCTTTCGGGTTCCACTCGAGCAATGGCTTGTCTAGTGATGTCACTTGATGGTTTCCTCAGAGTATGGCCAATCAATCTCTATTTCTTCCTGCCTATTTGTTTCACAATCGGTTCCTGGTTGGTTCGCTCATTGCCAGAGATCCGTGTTGCTGATCTTTTCTGACTGGCCATCTGATCTTGAGTATTGAGCGAAGACAACTGTTAATGAAGGTCTGAAGTTTGTTTAAGATGCTCTTTATGACGCGCAGTGCAAGTCTCTGGTCCATATAGTAGCGCTGACTGAATTCACATTTGACTTGAAAATCCGGACCTTATTTTTGATGCTGAGTGCTATTGACCTCCACACAGACTTAAGAGTAATGAAAGCTTCTCTTGCTTTTCCGATTCTGGCTTTGATGTCCTCGTCAGTTCCGGCTGTAGTTGAAACGATGCTTCCCAGGTAGGTAGGTGAATGAGGTTGTTTCTTTCAGGTTCCTCCCATTTATTCTGGCTGATTGTTGTCTGTTGTTGTTGCTGTTGTCCAGGAATCTTCATTTTGTTTAGTAGCTTGTATTGGAAAATCTTTAGATAGTTATTCTATATCGAAATTACCTTTTAAATGGATATTTAGTTATGCTTTTTTCCATACATATTTATAGTCATTGTATATTTCTTATACAAAATATAAAGAACTTTCAAAAGATAATTAATGTCTAACTAAGGTACAAATCTAAGTTTTTACAAAATATAAACAATTGTTAATATTATTGTACTTTCAAGTTGGGGAGACGTTGGTTCAATAAAGTGTTCGATTTACAGAAAACCTACTTGGATAGGGTACTATTTAAATTTTCACAATTTCTGTCCATTACTATACAAGATGAACTGCGTTCAATGCGTATTTAAGAGGATTCAGTGTATCTGTTCAACTGATGCCATGAATGATGTGTGATAATAATAAAATGCTGACGCGTGCACTTTTCGAAAACTGATATCGTTCATAATTTTTGAACAGGTGTAGAAGTCAGTTAAGTTCAAAGCTTCTGTGTCCCAAAGAAAAATGTCTACGTCAAATCACCTGACAAAGGGAAAATAATTCGCAGGATTTAAAAAGACAGAGACTCAACTGTGTCATCCATAAGGCTTACTATGCAATCCGATTTATGATTACTGAACAAGGCAAAAGCATGCTCTACGACGAGCCTTATTTTTGGACAAGCACTTATTTCACATCCCATGTTGTACACCATTCTACATCTGTGTGTGTGTGTGGACACATAGATAAGGACGAGTAGTCGGTGTGGGAAAATATACTCTGAAACCTTAATAAATTCAGGTTCCAGACTATCAACTTCGTCTATATGTAAACAAAATTTTTAGACACATTAATAATTGTCCAGATATTTCTCAGTCGTATAGATCATGTTTACAGTATACATCAAAGTTTTGATGGACAGGCAAAAACATATTTTAATCATAGGATCCCGCATTACTTAGTAATGCTGTAAGTTACCCAATGTAACATCAAGAAAACAATGCAGAAAATACAAGGAAATAAAAATGCTATCATAAAAATTTTTAAAATGAAAAAAGACGGGGATGATATACACTTACGTATCTGGTATTCTAATTAGGGTAAGAATAAAGTATTGTGGTGAGTACTACTTATAATCAGATATAAGTAGTGTATCGGTAAACGAATTCGGAAAAGCATTAATATGTTTTGGACATTAGAAAAAGGCAATTGAAGAAGAGAACTGTGAGAAAAACGTTAGAAACACTATGCAGAATCCAACGAGCTGTCGAATGTGGTGATATCCTACCAATTTGCAAATGGTTACGAGTAAAGCCTTGGAAATACGGTATACCAAGTTTATTTCCCTACAATAAGTTTGTCCTAGTAAATATTCCTTCGAGCTTCATCGGTCTTTTCCTCCTTACAATATGAATGTATTCGTATCACTTCGACTTGTTTTCAACTATTGAAGATTCATGACTCACTGTTACTTACTGTAAATGTCAGACTGTTAATTTTAGTTTCAGACGTGAACTGATTCAGCTCCATGATTCTAGTAACATCTCTAGCACTGCGATAGGAAATAAGTCGAATATTGCCTATCTTGGCATCTCTTTAAATCTCTGTCAATCGTCTAATATATCTTGTTGATTTCTAAAAAAGTCTTTTGATTAATTACATAAGGAAGTTAAGACTTTCTCATGGCATAACTTAACAGCTTTCCATACAGTGCATTCATTTTTATTTTTATTTTTTTGATTACAGCTTGATTCCACACTTTATTTTTGGCACAAGTATGGAATTTTCAGCAGAGATATCGGTAGCCCAAATTTCGCAGGCCGACCATAGATATTAGGTGTGCGTCGGCAGGGGATCGAACCTCGGACCATGTGCATGGTCGGTGAGAGTCCTAACCACTGTGCCACCGACGCACATGTATTCGTGTAGTCTACCCATTCTTTTTTAATGTTCTCCTTCGTATTATTTTCTGGACTTCTCAAAATAGACTGTGTTATATTACGTAAGACTTCGAAAGCTGTAAGCGGGTTTATTGGTTTGCCTTTGATTCACCTAACTGACATTGTGGTTGATGGGCATTTAAATTCTTACCAGTAGCAACTGGCTGAAGTCATCTTGTCTGATAATAAATATCCTCTTTATTCAAGACTTTCTCCTTGTATCTCTTCGGAGAAATTTCATAAGGATTTGGGCTCAAACGACAAAATGTAAAAATTCAATCATACTATATTTAGCACAGGTTTTGTGTGAAAGGACGAATATCACAAAAGAGCTGGTAAACTTACTTCTTAAATCCATATATGAAAAGTAAATTATAACCGGGATTCCATATTAGATGCACTAGTAATAACTGGATGACGTTTCGGGCACAAATTATTGCTCATAGTCTTATCAACGTAGTCGCAAGGCTTAATATGATTATGAGAAACAATTTGTGCTCGTAACGTCATCCAGTTCGTTATTCATACTGCTTCATGGTGTGTTTTTCAGATAAACTTATCTAGTTATGGAATTATATTCGACCTAAGTGCTCAAGTTCTACACTTATACTAACGGGCATTATTATTACACATATTCTTCGACTAACTTTCAGTTTTTGTGGCTTTATTATTTTTGATTTTACGAGTTGATCACGGATTGATAACAGTTGGAGAACCAGTGAAAACCATGGAGTACTGAAAAGTTGTTTCATCCTAGTTTGGGAATCATCGGTAGTACGCAGCCACTGCCAGGGTTCAAACCAAGGGCCTTCTGGGTAAAAGGCAAGCTCGAATGCCGCCTTTATATATCTTGACCTAAAGGCAGCATTCGATTCTGTCGACCGTGAGGTTCTTTGGCGATGCTTGGCTGTAAAGGGAATTCCGAGAAAATACATTGCATTGATTAAGGCACTCTACTCGTACTCATGGAGCTGGGTGAGGGCTTACGGCGAGTTGTCATCTGAAGTGGTGACGGCTAGTGGTGTCCGACAGGGATGCCCACTATCCTCATTTCTATTCAATTTCATCATAAATGTATTAATTGACTTGACCCTAAGTGACTTCAGCAACTCCGGGATTGACTTGTTACCAGTAAATAATCTCGTTAACTTAGAATATGCAGACGATATAGTCTTTCTAGACGAGGACGCTGACAAAATGCAGAGTTTTCTGAACACCTGTGAGAACTGGCCACTGAGAGTGGAAGACATGAAAAGATTAGCTGTCTTTGATCATAGGTGACTGCGTTCTATCTCCCGTGTGAATTGGTATAATAAGGTGAGCAACATTGAGGTTAGGCTTAGGTCGAGTTTTAGCTAAACAGGGGAAATCAATCGACGAAGTTGTGAAGTTACACAGACTGAGATGGTTAGGACATGTGTTACGCATGTATGCCTAGTCATCGCCTTCCTCGACCGACTGGCAATGTTAGCTGACATAGGGTCAGGCTTTTTGATGTGGTTTTGTTCTCTGAGCTGGATAGTTAGTTTGCGAAGCTTTCATCACCTTACTGGGTGACATCTTCAGCGCATACTTCAAATTGAAGTGAGCTTTTAGGTTTCTCCACGAGTTTATTAATCATTCCTCCTGGTGACCTTGGACGTGATTGGTTGTTTATGTATGTTTTCACACCTTCTAGGTTACTTGTGTTGGAACTGATTGTTTCTGTGACTTGAACTTTGGCCAATCGTGTGTGAAGTTTCTTTCTTATTGGTTGATAAATTTTGTCTATCTCGATGTGTCTATTGATTGATGATTCACTGGAATGCCAAGCTTCTAAAAATTCTCTAGCATTCTTGTTATTTCCTTTGTCTAATATTTGAACGTTGTCCCAGTCGAATTGATGTCCGTGGTTGTCTGTGTGTAGTGAAATGAGGGAGTGTATATCATGTCTTTTGACGGCTAGCTTATGTTCGTGGATACGAAGACGAAGGGGACGTCCACTTTGGCCAATGTAGTGTTTTTCACAGTTGTTACAGTCTATTCTGTAGATGATGTTGGTTTTGTCTTCTTTTGCTGTTGAGTCTTTTGGTTGACATAGAATTGAGTGCAGCGACTTTGTTGGTTTGTGTACGACGACAATTCCTAAAGGCTTGAAGAGTCTTTTAGTGATTTCTGAGATATCCTTTATATATGGTAAGGCGATTTTCTTTGTGTTTTCCCTGGTGGCTTTTGTTTTGGTAGGTTGGCTTGGGGGTATATGTCTCTTGATGAAATTCCGGGGATATCCATTCTTTTGGAAGACGTCCATGAGATACTTTTCTTCAATTTTTCTTAAGGTGGGAGTGCTGCAGTGAGTCCTTGCTCTCTTGAATAGTGTTTGTATGCAGTTCTTTTTGTGTGCTATTGGGTTGTTGCTGTTGTAATTCAGTATTTGGTCTGTGTGAGTTGATTTCCTATAAACTTGAGTTTCTAATTCTCCTGTAGTGGTTCGCCTGACTAAGACGTCCAAAAATGGTATTTTGTTCTCGGATTCCTCTTCTCTTGTGAATTTGATGTCGTTGAAGACGTTGTTTATTAAGTTGTGAGTTTTGTCAAAAAGAACTGCATACAAACACTATTCAAGAGAGCAAGGACTCACTGCAGCACTCCCACCTTAAGAAAAATTGAAGAAAAGTATCTCATGGACGTCTTCCAAAAGAATGGATATCCCCGGAATTTCATCAAGAGACATATACCCCCAAGCCAACCTACCAAAACAAAAGCCACCAGGGAAAACACAAAGAAAATCGCCTTACCATATATAAAGGATATCTCAGAAATCACTAAAAGACTCTTCAAGCCTTTAGGAATTGACGTCGTACACAAACCAACAAAGTCGCTGCACTCAATTCTATGTCAACCAAAAGACTCAACAGCAAAAGAAGACAAAACCAACATCATCTACAGAATAGACTGTAACAACTGTGAAAAACACTACATTGGCCAAAGTGGACGTCCCCTTCGTCTTCGTATCCACGAACATAAGCTAGCCGTCAAAAGACATGATATACACTCCCTCATTTCACTACACACAGACAACCACGGACATCAATTCGACTGGGACAACGTTCAAATATTAGACAAAGGAAATAACAAGAATGCTAGAGAATTTTTAGAAGCTTGGCATTCCAGTGAATCATCAATCAATAGACACATCGAGATAGACAAAATTTATCAACCAATAAGAAAGAAACTTCACACACGATTGGCCAAAGTTCAAGTCACAGAAACAATCAGTTCCAACACAAGTAACCTAGAAGGTGTGAAAACATACATAAACAACCAATCACGTCCAAGGTCACCAGGAGGAATGATTAATAAACTCGTGGAGAAACTTAAAAGCTCACTTCAATTTGAAGTATGCGCTGAAGATGTCACCCAGTAAGGTGATGAAAGCTTCGCAAACTAACTATCCAGCTCAGAGAACAAAACCACATCAAAATTATCCACCTGAGCTACAAATCTTCTCTATCATATCTATAGGGTCAGGCTAGAAAAGAGCTAGCCAGTGGTGGTCAAACCAAAACATCGCACCAGTCAATGAAATCTGTAACAGTTAATTTAAGCTAGCCACGTAGGAAGGTGTAGACTGGCCTCCTGGTTGGGGTCCTCGGGACGGTAAAAACCAATGAAGGCTGGAAACAATTGGTGACATGGATCAAAATCGTTCTCAGTGGCTGGTGTAGATGCATCCATTCCTTGTGACTTATAATACCCAATCAAACTATATTGTCCTTCGATATTACAATTCTTTCTTCTTCATATCTCTGTCTACTGTCTTTGTGATGCATTTCTTTTTACTTTCTTCTCTTGCTTTGTGTGGTACATGGAGTGTGGCGACTTGAACCGCCGCACATGTATGCAAAGTTCTATGTCGAAAACAGACAGACAGTCGTATACCATTTAGCCACTGGGACCCGATTCAGTGGCCAATGCATGAATTCTAACTTCTACCAATTCGTGATTTAGCGCGACCCAAGCCAATGTCGTCGGTGGGATGAAACAACTGTCCAGTACTTCCTGGTTTTTAATGCTTCTCTAACTGATATCGACCCGTGATCAACTCATAAAAACAAAACTAATCCTTACAAACCACCTATAGAAAATTTATTTTTACTACTATATGTATTTATACATTTGTAAAAGGAGATAAATTGTTACAATATGTGTAACGGTGAAAATTCCCCTGTGTATAATTATTGCCATCCGGAATAAAGGGATAATAATAATAATAGTAGTTATTATTATTTTGTTACATTCACGTTAACGTTTTGTAATGGTTTTCATTCTGCATTTTACAGTAAAAACATAACTCTGATTTGATCCTATTTTCTGTAATCATTACGTTGACATATTTCTTATAGTGTTTCTTGCAATGTCTCAATTAAGTGTAGGTGGTGAATATGTGGGTTTGGTTAGATTATTGTATATTTCTCGGTTGATGTTTGCGCCTAAATGTTGTGTTTTAATTGTCTGTTTTCTAAGTGGTTAATGGAGACTCGACTCAGACGGAAACATTCCTCTTCAAGTTTCACGCTTCTTGGTTCAATAATTATATCCAGTTTATGTAACTCTATCAGATTGACTTCTTTGTGTTATCACTTTGATTAGTTATTATTTTTCAATTTCTGTTACGTTTTAAATTTTATGATAGTTCGATGAGGTATACTACTGATTGATTGATATAAGTAGTTGGAAACTATTGACGTCAAATATTAGTGCTTGTTAACCAGATTGAAATTATCTGAGGGTCTGAATCAGTTTAAACCACCTGAATTCTGTCTATCTACTTCGGCGTACTGGTATTACTGTGGCAAAATATAACGAATAACAAGTTTTATGCATATATTAATAACAAGATGAAACTATGTAACACAAACAGGGACTAGAAACATAATAAGAAACTATTTAATTCAATTTTAGATTTTCCCGTCGTTCACAGGTTGACGTATCGACTTCTTGTGCAGATGCTTCGACAATGTCAACCCGAGACGGAGCACTTCGGTCCAATCAATATATGGGAAAATCTGAAATTGAATTAAATAATTAATATGACCTGTTGCACATGAGGTGGCTCTCTTAGCTCAAGTGGTCTAGTAGACAACACTTTGGCGTTTGAAACTATGGGCACTGAGTTCGAGCCTTGTTGGGAACATGATCACTCACTGAGTGGGGAATGCAGGTACATCCAGATGACGAGTCCCAGGTAGGACGAAATGTGGCGTATCCTGAATTCCACTGCTAGTCACCATCCACCAATTAATAATAAGGGACTATATGAACGACTTCGTCCATTTGGATCTACGACGCCGCACATTTACAGCTTATCTAAGGTAAACAGACAGGGTGTTCAAGTCAGTAGTATTGTGCTTTCAATAATTTCAGTTTCCGAATAAAAGTGTGGTGATTTTTCACCTCGAACTGTTTAGTTTGTAAATGACTAATTCGATTGTATGATAGTGTATATGAGCATTTTGAGTCATTCTGTTTAATTTCGCTGAATTGTGTTGAGTCATATTGTGTAAAGTATTTGGCTTAGAATATGAATATGGTCTTATTGTCCATGGCGTTATTTTATATCCAATTAATCTGATTAACTTTAGTTGATGTCATCTGTTCCGATCAGTCATTGTGTTCAATTTAGATCTTATCAGAATATTGTACATTTGTCAGGTTGATATTTAACTTTTTGTTGTTAAGAAAGCAAGCAGGTATCATCATTTAAACACAGAACATGTTTATCAATTACTGAGAGGCATGATAATATTGCGACTAAAATTATCTACTGTGACAATCCTTCAGTATCTTTATTTCAATATTGTAAAATTTAGTTTACTCATCATAAATCTGCATTTTGTTCTTTGTACATTGATGATATAGGCACGTGATTTTAAAGATGAATTCCCAAAACTGCGAATCTTCAATCATCCTAACATTCTGCCTGTATTGGCTATTTTCACTGCTACACCACGTCTTTGTCTTGTTAGTGACTTTATGCAATATGGTAGTCTTTTCGATGTTTTACATCAACCATCAGAAGCCAATATGAATGGTGCTACAGAAATAAGTCATCGACAAGCCTTACGATTTGCAGTAGACATTGCTAAAGGTATGGAGTTTCTGCATTCTCCTGAATTGAAAGTACCTAATTTTCGTTTAAACTCAAAACATGTAATGGTAAGTTAAGCAAGTATTGTTTTCATTCACCTTCATTATTATAGAGATTTTTTACAAATGTTACTGCTTATATTTATTTAGTTTTCAGTCCTTTTACAAGAATTAATAAGGGAAATGTTTAACCAAATTCATTATAATAAATAATAATAATTTTTCCTTCACGTTCCCAGTGGAACATAGGGCTTCGAGCTAGTGGCTTGAAGTTTCTGTAGCAGGGTTTATTTTAACAGGATGGGGTTGCTAGCCTCATGCCCAACCTTTTCTCTTTACCAGCATTATTTCTGGCTTGGCGAGGTAAAGGAGTGCCTTGTCGGCCGGCGATCGAACCTCGGACCATGTGCATGGTCGGCGAGCGTCCTAACCGCTGTGCCACCGACGCACAACCAAATTCATATTCACAACTTATTCAATTAATTGAATTTCACATGCACTTTTATTTCACGTGAAAACTTAATAATGCAATACAAACTGGTACTACATTGTGTAATTTTAATCACTGTAATATCAACCAGAACATTCTAGATATGTAGATTAGTCAGTATCACAGTCTATCAAGTGTCATGGATATATCTGCTGTTCTGAGTATACTACTGACTGTAAGTTAGTAGTAGGAGAGCATTTGTCTATTAAAAAATATCTTATTCCATTTATGTTAATATTATTGAAGTCTAAGACCATATGCAAATATTTTCTTTTTTAACCTCTATCAGAATTCATAAGTCAGTCTAACATTTCTGAGATTATGTTCTCTTCACTTATCGTCAGATATGTGTAGGTTTCCTTCAAGAGTACTTCTGTAACTAGAGTTTATGACGAATGACGGTGTTACTCATATACCTGTGTGTATTTTTATCCTAATCATGTAGTTTGAAGGGTATGTTGCTTCAGTGAGTTATCATCCCTTCCTTGCGCTTGAATATCAAAGAAATGGAAGATTGAGTCAGATTACACTTGTCGAGTGAATTCAATGTTTTGGGTGCAATTATGGGAAGGTTTGGAGCAAGTGCGCTAGATTCAACTCCTTATCACAAATAGTGAAAGTATGAACAATATATCTGTCGTATAGGCTTACTGAATGTTGTTTGCAAGCAAGTGTATTTGAAGCTTGCCATAAAACATTCGGTTAAAATTGGTCCTAGAGAACTGACTCATTGCTACACCATCTATTCTCCTGTAGATTTCATTTTTGAGTTTGAAGTATACGTTGGAAGTACATATAAATGAGTAGATAGCTCTTTTCAGTAATAAATCAGCCCACATACATCGACTTTACTATACTGAATGAAATCACATAAACGGCAGACAGTTTTTGTCAGTGAGACATGAGTGTAGAGAATTGACGTTTAAGGAAACTATTCTTTTGTCTATCAAATTGACCTTTTTAATTGAATGGAGATTGCGTCTTGACAGATTCTTCGTCACTGGTTCAAGAAACTCTATCAGCCACCTGGTGGAGATCAAGCGATATGCAAAGTTTATCATATCAAGTAGTAGGCTGGCTTCGCTCCATACCGAAGATTAGATGATCAAAAAGGGGATTAGCGACAAGAAACTCTGGGGGCCAACCAACCAAGAACCTTTCGCCCAACAAATATGCCGGAGATGGATTAGACGCACGTTGAGAAGACCGCGCGCCAGGTCCTTGAGTGAAACTTTGAAGGGGGAACAACGAGTGGGGTTTCGTTCTAAGGGTGACATGGAAATGATCATATGAGAGTAGGAGATGAAAGCTTATAGGCAGTCATGGAGCCAGTTGAATAAAGACTGTCGAGAACAGGGTGAAATAGAGATGTGGTGTTGAAGCCCTGTGTGTTCCACTTGGAACTCAAGAGATCAGTAGTAATGTTGAATATGAATATGAATTCTGAGTAATCCTTTTAAAATAACCAATGACTTGTTGATTTTGGTGTAGCACGAAGATAATCGTCTTCTAATCCAGTTGTATAGTTTAGTTGACAAGGCTTAAAGTCTACATCGTGTTGTTTAAAATTTTTACAATACTTCCTCAATGTCTGTAGTGCTTTGAAATACTTCATTCTCACAGTAATAACATTGTTATTTCCAGTTTTACATCAGTGTAGTAAGCGTTTACCTTGTAATACTAAAATACATACTTAAGAAAGTTAGAACTTAGTTACCTGGAATAGATTTTACATTACCTAGACTATAAACCAACCATATTTTTATGGAGTCTGATAATTATGCCACCCAGCTGTCTAAATTGAATTAGAAAACAGAAAGATTGAGCGAAGAAATATTTACTTTTCAATTAGATCCTCATCTCTGGCTCTGCTCTAATATATATCCATAGCATTTTTATTACAATACACAACAGTTCACCAATCAAGTGGCACTGATATGTTTGTTAACAATAATTAGTCAGTGTCAAAATGTCAATGGGTTGATAATTAACGAAGAAAATCAGTACACATTTAAAAGGTAGAAATGGTTAGGATAAATTAATTTTACAAGGATAACACGTAAATTAAAGATGAAGTGGTCAAAATAAATAAAAATAAAATAAATAATTTAGACAATCAAAATTGGTATAGATTTAGGGGGAGGGGGCGACGTAGTCCTGTTTATGCATTCTTGTGACGATGGCCACGGTAGGGAAAGTGGCTGTACAAATTTTTTTCTCTACACACAGGCTTGGCTTCTTCAGGTGAATTCCGATTGCTTCAGTCGTCTGTAGAAGACGAACTCGCAGAGTAAAATTAAGATAAGTCGGAATGCGATAAATAATTTTAAATGCAGTATTCACATCAATCTTATGCTCAGTATCAACGAGGTGGGCTAAAATAGAACTATGAATAGATCTTTTTTGTCGCTTACTTAACCACGTTGGATGATGTTGGGAAATACGACGATGAACTTGCCTAATTGTACGCCTAATGTAGCTGGCTCCGCAGCTGCAGTCAAACTGGCAGATAAACATAGAGGAGGCGAATTCAGGTAGTTTATCCTTATTTCTCGAACATAAAATGGGGGTGGTTGTAAAGAGACAACGTACCTCTGCTGCATAATAAGTTCTTTTAACTGCATTCTTCAAGCGCTGTGTTATTATTAAGTGGAGCAGGATATGTACCCTAGATCCATTGGTTAACAAGTTACAAGTGTGACAGCTAAGTCTCTACTATCAACAGATTACTTATATCTGTAACCGGGATCTTTCTAAGCTAGTAAAATCAATGAATGAATGAGCATTTAGATACTATCATTATGTGATGTGTATCTCTAAAGCAAGACTGTAGATAGATACCGCCAATCCAGTAAAACAGTGATTTGATGTAGTCAACACTTTTGTCACATACTTTGTACTTTTTTAAAAAAAAAGAAATCATAAAATACGCCCAGTTTCTTACTTTAGACAGTTAGTAACTAGTAAGAGGGAGAGAGAGAGAGAGAGCGTTGTGTGCATTATTCTAAATTATTCTCTTCTAGTCTTTGAAAGACACTATTAGATAGCTATTGTTTTAATTTTAATTTCTTCGTATTGATTTCATTTGTAAGCTTTGCCTTACTCTCCCGTAATATTACAAGTAAGGGTGGTTTTTCTCGTCCACATATTCGACATTTTTAAATGTTTTAAAAAAGAAATACTCAAAATTCTAAGAGTTTAGGCTCAATTCAATTCACTCCTATAACTTGTAACTCTGCTCTCTACATAGTCCACTCTCTTTAGAAATTGTTGTTTTAAGAAAATATTTGTTAATTAAAACTACCAGTTAAAGAAAAAACAAACAAACAACAACAACAAATATACATTTCACTTGATGACAGTAAATTTACCAAGAATTGTGTAGTAGTCTTTGTTTGTATAATAGAGTAGTAGACTAGGTCAGTGTGTGTGTGTGTGTGTAATTGAACTTGGTTACTATCTGTCTCTCTTTTCTATCTGTAAGTAGTAAGTTAATTAAAAAACTGAGAGTTTAGAATACCGTTATACCAAAAAAAAATGTCTAATATTTTTTTTCATTGTTATGGTTATTTCGTGTTTATACCTGAATGTTGTTTTACAAGAATCATAAGAATGCGCGTGTGTTTGTGTGTGTGCGTATGTGTTTATTGCTGTGTAATTATTTTCTGGCGTTCTTGATTTGCTGCTTGGCGTTTTGCTCTCTTTCTCTCATACACACCAGCAGCAGTATTATTACTATTATTATCATTATTATTATAAGTAGTATCAGTAGTAGTAGTAGTGGCTTGTTCTTTTATGTTGCCACTTCTGTAGTGTATATACATCATAATTCTCAACTGTCCTCTTTGTGTAGAGATTCAACTTTCAACTGTTAAGTCATATGTTCAAATTCATGTTATATGTAAACTATTGAGCTGAAGTAATTTCTATTTTAAAAATAAAGCTATTTTTAAATTATTTTGTGAATTGTACTTTGTATACTTTTATATATAAGAGTAGATTTTTCTTATAGTTGAATTATCTACCTAGTAAAGTGTAATATGAATATGACAGTTTCATTCTTGTATTGATTGAGTCAAAATTGAGAAGAAAAAACAAAAAGCAAGAAAGCATACATCCCCAAGAGTTTTATATGAATACGAATATAACTTATTGTCAACGATAATTATTTCTGTCTTGACAAAATGTCTGCCTCAGTTGTGTGTCTATCAATTTGTTTTGCCATGGATAAATTAACTAACAAAGGTTTGTCTGATTATCTCTCAGTCATAATAACATGTTTCTATTATATATATATGTATATATATATGTATATATATATATATATATATATATATATATATATATATATATATATAATAGAATATAGAATTTCAAAAAGTTCAAGAAGATTCCTTGGAAGTCTTAAGTATGAGAGTAGTTAGATGAAGATCTTGTTGTTGTTCGAATCCCGGTGGATGCGTACTAATGAAGACTCCCAAACTAGGCTTGTCTGCCTGTCTGTCTGTTTTCGACATAGAACTTTGCACATATGTGCGTAACTTCAAGTCGCCACACTCCCTCCTTGTAGCACACAAAG